TCCATCCATCCATCCATCCATCCATCCATCCATCCATCCATCCATCCATCCATCCATCCATCCATCCATCCATCCATCCATCCATCCATCCATCCATCCATCCATCCATCCATCCATCCACCCATCCATCCATCCGTCCGTCCACCCACCCACACCTCTGCCCATCCTTCCACTTGCTTCCTGGAGGAGTGTGGGTGAGCAGACCCTACACATGCACGCCGAGCCTCTCCTGAACGTCCCAGCACCCTTTGCAAGCACAGCTTCAAGAATCTCCATACATTCGCACCCCTGTTCACCCTGAACCCTACTGATGGCCTTGTGGGGAACACGCAGAGGCCGCTACTCACAGGCAGACTCCGTTTTGCCCGTCCTCTTGGACTGGTACCAGATGGTCATGCAGTCATCCTGCAGCTTGAAGTAACGCTGCTTCTTCCAGCTCTTGGACTTGACTTTGCGCATCAGCGTCCCCTGCTGCATCTGCTCCAGCTCGTCTGTGAGCTGGATGCCTAAGGGCAGCGTGGGCTGCATCACTGAGGGTGGGGGTATCCGGATGCACCCTGCCACCTTGCTCCTTCCCGTCTCCAGGACCCCACACGATCCCTCGGTTTGGGATGGAGGAGTGATGGACCCCAAACAAACTCCTTTTGCCACCAGAGCGGCACAAGGTAATTCCCCACCGACCCTTCCCACCCGCCCGCAGCGCTGCCAAGCCCAAATCCCTACAGCCGCGCTGCGATAGGGATGCTCCCGAGTGCGGCAAGGCGAGCTCAACCCACGGGCCAGATTTCCCCCCGGCGTAAATCCGGATGGCCCGGTGCCCTGCCCTGTCCCTCCCACCGCCCCGACACTCACGGGCGTTGCACATCAGCGATGCCATGGCTCTGCCTCCTCTGCGCTGGCAGCTGCTGGGGAGGGAAGAGAGAGGGCTGCTGGGGGGAGCAGGGCTGGACCCCCCCACTGCGCCCAGGTCCTGCCGAGGGGACCCCCAGTCGTGCCCACGCGTGTGCCCCAGCCCGTGTGCGAGTGCCCCTGCGCCTGTCTCCTGCTGGGTCTTTTTTTTATGACCCCCCGCCACGCTCATGAAATATTAAGTGGCCTTACCGGGAAGCCGGAGCTCGGAAGGTGTCGGAGGAAAACAAAAACTCCTGAGCGCGGACGCCCTGCAGCCCGGTGGGCGCCGGAGCCCTCTGCTCCCAGGGAAGAAGCAACCCCGGGAGCTGGGATAAACTGCCCTGGGGGTACCCAAGAACAGCCCCCACTGCCTGGGAAACGGCCCCCAACCAGAAAATTTGGAAGTAAGGGAAAG